AAAAAAAAAAAAAAAAAAAACTTAATAAACTGTAGTTCACAGTTATTATGACACCAAGTTAACTTTGCTCCATCCATTTTTAGTTGAGGTTCCAGATTTCTGCTTCAGGTTGGAAACTGCCAATGCAATGTTCAGAGTATGTCCTACTCCAAAGTCATATATTATCTTTCATATCCACAAATGACAGACCAAGCCCCATTTGCTCGTTTACATTTTATTATCATTGTTATTAGTAATAAACCAATAGAAACTGAATAACAAAGGAAAAAGCTCAAGATAAATAATTCCTTCCTTGTGACTTGAAACACATGCATACACACACATCGTCCTCTGTGTGTGCTACTTCCTCATCACATTCTGTCCTATGGCACAAATAGTTACACAAAAGTCTACAGAAGGTGAGTAGCAGATCCCAGCTGTATAAAGCTCAGGCAGACTCTCAGTCTAGATTACCAGCTTCTCTACGCTAAGTGTACTCGTGGTTTCATCCTCTTCATTTGACCCAAAATATCCTGGGAGGTCCAGCATCCTCTGCTCAGCCTCAGTGAGGCCAAATGACGTGTTGTCATAGAAGGCAAACTCGGGGTGAGCGGGGAAGCTTTGACACTTGTCTTTCCGACACTGAGAAGGGCTCAGAGGGCTGACCCTCTGGTAGCTATCTTTGAGGGATATGGGTGAAGACTGTTTCCTTGAGACACTCTTATGACTGGGGGACGGTCCCCGACGAGCTCTGTGAGGCTCTGTTCTCTCAGTTCCTGCCACTAATCCTGCCTGGCGATCCCCAAGGTCTGGTTTCCTTAAGGGCTGCCCCAAAGTGTAGGATTTAGGGAGAGGGCTTAATGGACCATCGGTTCCACCTGCCCCTTGGAAATTCTCCAGCCTCTCAGGAAACAGGTGGGCGCCTCGACTCGGTGGCCTAGATCTGTCCTCTGCCTGCTCCCAGGTCCGCGTCCTAGAGCTGTAGGCGGGCACCTGCCGCGGAGTCAGAGTGGACATGCTCCTCTCTCGGAACGGCCGGGCCTGCCTGGCTTCATGGAAACTCGCTGTCCTCCTGAAATGCGCGTTCCTGGCATGGCTCCTCTCGGAATGGCCCCCTCTGCTGCCCACGTGCCTCGCCTGTGACTTGCGGATCAGAGTCTGGCTGGGGCTTATGGCACAGCTGGCCTGCGTCACACTTAGATCCGGCCTGGAGGGAGGCCTTTCCCCAGCGCTGACCGCAGGCTGCTCCAGAAATGGGGATTTGATCCGGAACTTGTTTGCTGCAGCTTCTTCTAGGCATTCCAAGTCTAAGGGGGCGCTGGCGGCCGCGTCAACGGCAGTGTCTGTCAGTGGACTCTGAGACACGTGGTACACTTTAGTGGTTTCCGTCAGACCTTTCTTTTTCATCTCTTTTAGCTGCTGCTGGGCGAGGCGGTAGCTGAACAGAGGGGGGATTATCTTCTGGGCGTTGGACTGGAAGCTCTCGCTGCCAGAGGCATCGTCCTCGGGAGGCACCGGCCCGCTCCGCCTGTAGGTCAGAGGGATGCCTGTGTCCCCCGGACTCCCCGGGGGCCCGTCTCCTCCATCCGAGAAGCTCCCGCGCTGCTCGCTCAGCTCGCATATGTTCTCCTCGTCCGAGTTCTTCCGGAAGCTGGGGGAGTGGAGGGAGTTGTGTCGAGCAGGGGTGCTGCACTTGGGGGGGCGGCCGAACCTCCTCCACAGCGTGATGAGCACGGTGGCAATGATGATGAACAGGCACAGGGATATGCCAGTGACAGTCACGATGTTGTTGGACTTTGCTGGACCCTGGGGCTGAAGAGGAGATGGGCTGGATGGCTGGAAAGCTGAAAAAAAAAAAAAAAACACACAGAGGAACAGATTTATTTTTTATTTTTTTATTTTGAGAGAGAACCTCACTCTGTGGCGCAGGCTAGACTGCAATGGACCCATCTGGGCTCACTGAAACCTCCGCCTCCCAGGTTCAAGCAATTCTCCTGCCTCAGCTTCCCGAGTAGCTCGGATTATAGGCGTGTGCCACCAACCCTGGCTAGTTTTTTTGTATTTTTAGCAGAAACGAAGTTTCACTATATTGGCCAGGCTGGTCTCAAACTCCTGACCTGTGATCCGCCCACCTTGGCTTCCCAATGTGCTGGGATTATAGCTGTGAGCCACTGCACCTGCCCCAAATACATATTTTCTAGTATTGTTTGCTCTGCTCAGTTTTAAGGTCTCTGAGTCACTTGCTCGAATTATCTAGCAGTTATGGAATGAAGGAACATATACAAGGATTGGGATTTCTAGTCTTACATATGGATTTCTACTGGCAGCTGAAGCTAAACAGGATCACCAAAGGGAAAACACTGCACAGAGACCTACAGAAGCAAGGTGACCTGCTAACCCATAAACAAGGTGACTCTGTGCTCACCAGCTACTGCTAGAATTGGCCTCCAAGTTTCCACACAGAAGTAGCATGTAGAAATTTTCAAGGTAAAAATCGGTGTTCACTTAGGACAATGTAAATGTGGTACCTATAGTTAAATGTACCTCTGAGAGGCACATCAGAAAATACCAAGTATAAAATGCGAAATGCAAAATGATTTAGGTAGGCCAAATTTAGGTACCTAAATTTGCACATCTTAGGAGAAATTAATTGATGAAAATGAGACGTGGCAAAATATAACACAACTCATTTAGCCCTTCTAATATCCAGAAACTGTCTTTCCTAAGTGTTAAAGCCTCTGAGTTCTCACTCTTCTATTTTCAGCCATCCACTCCCCTTCCTACCTTATATGTGAGGGGATTTTTCTTCTTTTTCCCTGCTTGCTCAAACTGGTTTGTCCCATGGTCATCAAAATGTTTCATCAAAACGTAGGCTCCACCTGGAGCCTCTTTCTGTACTGCCACTGAAACACCTGGAAACGTGAGACCCTCAGCTCCCAACTCTTTCCCCTTTGGTCCACTGTCCTATGGCTTTTTTTCCCATGGTTGTATCAACACCGCCAGCTCTGTGCTTCATCTTCTCCACCCGTCCTCCCACTATCCCCTAGGGGACAGCTGATTACAAATTTCCCAACATTCCTAACTGATCCACAGAACACTACCTTCACCTCCTTGTCCCACCTGAAGCCAGACTACCCTGCAGGGCCTGGTTTCCTCCAATCCTCTCAGTGGAAGTTGTCACACATACTTTCTTTAGAAGTAAACAGGGCCAGCAGCAGAGTGTGCTCTTCAAGCTCATTCCTATTGCTATTTCCAATCTGCGCCCTTCACCTCCCTAGAAAACTTCCATTCCTTTGATGGCTATGCCATCCTGGCCAACCACTGTTCCACTCCTCCCTCAACACCATCATCTCCCAACCTCCTGCTAGCCATCAGTCACTCTAGCACCTGGGTCCCAGCCTCTCTCACTATCCCAGAGCTAGGAGCATCCAGGTGACTTCAGGTCCATCCAACATATAGTACCTTCCCACTATCTGCTCCTCTTCTAAAATGTTAAACTGCTCAACCTGCTCTCTATCTGTGTTCACTATTCTCACTCACTCACTATTACTAAACTGAGACTTCTGATTCTCCAGCCCTCCATTTTCTCGCATCTGCCAGACACTTCCTAGCCTTACTTCTGCCCCTAGCCAATTTACAACCATGACTTATTACTGAAACCACTTTCCTTCCAACAACCTCAACTCTCTCAACCTCTAATACTGAGCTATACCCCTTCCCCTGCTCTGCAGCAGAAGTCCAACCCTAGATATGTGAACCTCAGACACGTGAATTCCCAGCTGCTGCACCCAGGTCCTGAGCACTGGTGAAGAAAATGACACAACCATGCAGGATCAGTGTCCCTGCATAGTCACAGCACCCAACCTCAGCTGCCCACAAATCCTTCGGTGGGTCCCCTACAACACCTGCTCCCAATTTCACCACTTCCTTAAGCCCCTATCAATCCACTTCCTTAGCACTCTAGTAGGTCACACACACACACACAAAACAGAAGCCATCAGGCAAGTCCATGCCCGGCTTCTTCTGCCATCCTCCTCTGCCCCATAAACTTATTAGCAGCCACACCTCTATTTACCTTTTTTCCACATGATCAGTGGGAGAACTGTCCTCCTATAAAAGGTGAGGCCACAAGCAAATACTCTCTAGGCCTCCCTTGTCCAGGGGCCCCTCTGCAGCAAATATCTCTAGCTACTCCTCCATATAGCTCTTTTTCCTCAGCATAGAAACATACTCAAGCTCTTCTCACTTTATTTTATTTTTTTTGAGATGGAGTCTTGCTCTGTCACCAGGCTGGAGTCCAGTGGCACAATCTTGGCTCACTGCAACTTCTGCCACCCGGGTTCAAGCGATTCTCCCGCCTCACCCTCCCAAGTAGCTGGGCCTACAGGCATGCACCACCATGTCCAGCTAATTTTTGTATTTTTAGTAGAGATAGCGGTTTTACCATGTTGGCTAGGGATGGTCTCGATCACCTGGCCTTGTGATCCACCTGCCTCAGCCTCCCAAAGTGCTGGGATTACAGGCGCAAGCCACTACGCCCGCCCAGGCTCTTCTCACTTTAAAAAGACCCTTCTCACTTTAAAAAGACCCTTCTCACACTCTCAGCCGTATCTTGCCCTTTGTCTTCCTGGTCATGCTTACTGAAAAGAAGAGTCTGCCTTGCTTACTGCTCCTACATCACCTCTATCTCCTGCAACCTATCCCCAATATTCCAATTAAACAGCTGCCACCAAGGTTATGAATGACCTCCCAACAGTCAAATGCAAAGGAGTCCGTTTTATAGCATTGGCTACTGTTAGATAGCTCTTCCAACTCTCTCTCTCCCTTTTGGTTTCAGTGAGAATATTCACTTATGTAAATTAGAGAGAAGAGCATGGATTTAGCTCCAAGGAGAGCTAGATTCCATTCCTGGATCCATTAACTCTACCATCTCCATTGGATATCCCACCACCTCCATCTCAAAATGTCCGAGACTCACCATCTCTGCTTAGAACATGTGCTTCCTCTGATATATAAGATCTCAAAGGAATGGAATCACAGTTCACACAGTTTCTAGTTCTAAAATCCTGGGTTTCATCCCTTATGCCTCCTTCTCTATCACTTGCCACATACAGAGTCTGAATCCTCCTCTCTCTCCATCACAATTGCTGGCACTTCATTTTGCACATAGGTTCCTGAAAAACTCTTTAACAGGTACATCTGCTGCCGTGCCTAACCTTTTGATTTATACTCCATGCTACAGCCAGATAGAGATATCACGAAAACACAAATCCCAACCTTCAAAGCCCCTCAGGATATGGACCCCGTTTACTTGGCTGGCCTCATGTTTCCCACCCCTCCCTGGCACACTATCATCCAGCCACATTAAACTACTTTCAGTTCTCCAGTTCTCTTACTGTGCCATCTTCCATGCCTTCATTCATTGCTCTCTTTGCTAAAACCCCCCATTTTTACCTACTTCACCTGGGGGACACCTCAGCTCTCAAATTTCAGCTCGAATACCACCTCCTTGGCCAGGCGTGGTGGCTTATGTCCGTAATCCTAGCACGTTGGGAAGCTGAGGTGGGCAGATCACTTGAGGCCATGAGTTTGAGACCAGCCTGGCTAATATGATAAAACTCCATCTCTACTAAAAATATAAAAAATTAGCCGGGCTTGGTGGCATGTACCTTTAGTCCCAGTTACTTGGGAGGCTGAGGCAGAAGAATTGCTTGAACCTGGGAGGCAGAGGTTGCAGTGAGTTGAGATCATGTCACTGCACTCCAGCCTGGGCAACAGAGCAAGACTCCGTCTCAAAAAAAACAAAACAAAACAAAACAATTATCACCTCCTCCAAGACTGGAAATGTTTTGAGCTTGGATTATTACTCCTGAAAGCTTCTATAGCAAGCTGTGGATACATTTTTAATTGTAGGCCCTGTAATATTGTACTGAGTATTAAGCCTGTTTATGTGCCTTCTGAGCTACTATAAGCCCCTTCTAGCCAGTAATATCTTATTAATACATTCCGAACCACAGTCACAGTAACTTGCATAGTTAGTGCTCAATAAACACTAGTGATTCATTCCTTCATTATTAAAAAGGAAATAGCAAAATGATCAATATTCCAACAGATGGAACATAGGTGAAACAGCAATTTAATTGTGCTACTACTCTCTTATTGAACAAGGTAGACCAAATAATGTACAACTACAATCAGACCTTGGCATAAGAACATTCTTTTAAAGCCAAACCAACCTCTGAACTCCCAAACAAGTGAAAACAGTTGAATGACGACAGACTTGTTCCCTGATGGATCACTTCCCTCAACTACAGTGGCTCCTCATGACAGGGGTAGCAGCATTGCTAGGACACGCCGTGAACCTCTTCACTTAACTGTTATCTTTTTACTCTGGCTGGCTTCCTTTAAAATCATAGCTGGAGAAAGGCCCAAAAGCTGCTGGCCTCAACCATCTCTATCTCTAGTTTTTCCTCTTTCACATGAACTAAAGGAGATTTGTTGATGTTATGCAGCCTGTGAATATATCTTTACATTTCCAAAGAATGGAAAATAGGTTGACTAGGAAAGAGAACACTTAGAAGAAAGGACCGTTTTTATCCACATGAGCAATTATCTGAGGACCACTTACAGTAGAGTCAGGCGAGTCTGTAGGACATACTCTTCTTGCTAACTTAAAATGTCCAATTTCCAGTTCCTACTCAGTATTAAAGAATTAAGATGCCAGAATATGACATAATATCACATTTCTTAAAAATGATTGTTAATTCCAGGTTGTTGAGGCTTCTTCTAGAAAGCCAAATTGTCCTGTATATAAAAGCAAGGTATTCAGGATAGGTAGCTTGGC